AACTGCTGTATGGAAAATGAATTTGCTCTGTAAATCTTCACCCAAATCACACACACAAAGAAAAAAAAAAAAATTCAGCCTAACCAATCCTAAAAAAACAAAAAACCAGACCTGAAGAGCCTGCCCTCATGGAGTTTACAGTCATGTCTCCTTTGAAAGCTTCTCTTGTTCCTTCTATGCTGTAAACATTAGTGTTCTTCATTGTTCCACTCTGGGCTCATTTCTGCCTTATACATTCACCTGAGAAATTATCTTCCTTCACTCATTTCCCACCCGCCTCAGTTTTTGCCTCTCAAATGTTTATTTCCAGTTCAGCTCTCCTTATGAAGATATAGATTTGTATGTGCAGTATGCAACCTCCTGCTGATTATCTCCACTTACATGTCCAATAAGCACCTCAATTCAATAAATACTAAATTAAACAGCTTTTATCTCTCCTCCTACTAGTACCAAAGTGATTTGTCCTTTTGTGTTCTACATTTTACCACTATCCATCTATCTAAATACCCAAAGCAGAAATCTGGGCATCATCCTCCAATTCTTTCTAATTTTTCTCTTTAGTCATTCACTGAGGTTTATCAATTTACATTTTTTAAAACATCTTCATCCATTTTTCTCCATTCCTATAGCCACTACCTTAATTCAGTTCCCCTTCCAGTGCTTCAGAGGCTGCCTTACTGGTTTTCCTGATTTCTCTCCTGACTGCCTTTAATCCATTTTTTACAAAATCTCCACAGTAATTTACCTTAAAGGCTAATTTCATTTTCCATCCCTTTGCATAAAACTTTGCATTAGTTCCCCATTGCCTTCACTGGCTCTTCATGATCTGGTCTGGCCCCTACTTTTCTCTCCAACTTCATCTCTTACCATTTCTCCTTCACCTTGCCTCACCCCTCCACCCAGCACACACATACTCCCTCCAAGCTTTATCCATACTGATATACTTGCAAGGAGCTCTGCTGATACTGTGATTAAAGCGCTGGGCTGTTAACTAAAAGGTCAGTGGTTTGAACCTATCAGTTGTTCTGTGGGAGAAAGAAGAGGCAGTCTGCTTCTGTAAAGATTTACAGCCTTGGAAACACTATGGCATAATTCTGCTCTGTCCTATGGGGTTGCTGTGAGTTGGAATCAGTTAGACGGCACTGGGTTTGGTTTTGGTTTTGATGTACTTGCAGCATCTGGGGATGTATTTCCATTAGAGGGCAGGGACTTTTTCCTGTTCTTTGTATCCACAGTGCAGAGTCTGGTATCATAGGTGTTTGATAAATATTTGTTGAATGAATGGCCTCTAAACTTCACAGCGTACAATACATAACCATCTCTTTGCCTTAATTCAGATAATAATTCAAAGTCGTCTGGATCAGAGTATGGAGGAGAATCAGGACCTAAAGGTATGTCAGGACATGTGCATTTTATACTTTGAAAAATATTATGGGGATGTTATACCAATTTAAGGACAGTAATGGGTATGGGGGGCAGAGTTAGGACATTAGCTGAATCTGTATGTAAAAATGGTCTGGCTGAGCCATCTAACATCCTCCAACTCCATGTGGAGGAAGGAGAATCAAGATTAACAGCCCAAGGCTGATTCCTATTGAAGTGTAAGGCAAATATGCCTCCACTCTCCTGCCTTTTTACCAAATCTGACACCAACCATCCTTTCTGCAGCACTCTCTACTTATTTGCTGCATTACGGAATTTACTAGGGAAGTAACAGATTACAGTTCAGGTTCAGGAATGCTCAGGATACAGTTATTTGATCAGGATAGCCTCTTCTCAGCTGAGTCTAAAAACAGTTCTCTCTGGCCCTTGGCGCCTCAGCTTGGCCTCTGCCCTACTTGGGCAAGTGTTACAAAGCTTTTAGCTCTGCCAGTAAGTACTCAGAGGCACCCTACTCTGCCAGTAAGCCTGTGCCTGAAATGGCTCAACTCTAGCTTTGAGGGTAGGCAAGCCTACCTCACCAAGTGCCCGGAGGAATCCTATTCCACCAGCAAGCCTGCTGCCTGAAGGCACTCAGCTTTCTCACTAGCCCACTGCACTGTCTCTTGCTGGTCTCCTGGTTCTGCTGCCTCTGCTGCTGTGTTTCTCTGCCACTGTTTCTCGCCACCACCAGTGTTACAGATCTCTGTCTCTTGGGTCAAGGAGATCCAGAGGACGTACTCTGCTCCCATCTCTTCTTGGTGGTCATGAAGTCCCCCTTTCCACCTTTGGGATGGCTCATTTTAAGCCTACCAGGTGGCAAAACTGACCAGTCCCCTTGTTAGACTTTCATATACCTTATTTGCATGGTCCCACCCTACAAGGGTTACATGTACCTTATTTACATTATTTGCAAGCTGTCCAATACCCACTAAAGAGAGAGATCTGTCCTAAATATGGAAAAATGATAGTTCCTTTTTGATCTTAGTTGTGTGTCTAGGTGTCTATGTCATTATTGGTTTTACTTTTCTCTATGTTTGAAATGTTTTTTTAATTCAAAGACAAAAATGGATCTAATGTGGTCTCTTTTTTTTTTTTTAAATGAATACTTGCTAGAATTTTTTTAGGTCCACTGAACTTCTTTTGGGTCATAAGTACATGATTAAATCTATTAACCCTCTCCCCAGAAATATGCCTGTGTGTGCACACACACTCACAGATCAGAATTTTTAATAGGAGAAATTTTGAGCTCGTCTGTGGAGCCCAAGTTATGAAGCTCCATTTTAGGTGTATTACGGACTCTTGGTGTGATGCAGTAGAAAAAGAAGAGAGAAGGTCTGGGTTAAGGGTATTCCCTGTCTAACATCGCTTTCCTAGTGACAATCATACACATACATTTAATCTCTTGTAAGGGAAGGTTAGGTGCTCTGGTGGTGTAGTGCCTAAGGCATTTGACTGCTAACCAGAAGGCTGGCATTTCAAACCCACCAGCCATTCCTCGGAAGCAAGGTTGGGCAATCTACTTCCATAGTGATACCGCCTCAGAAACCCAAGGAGGGGTCACTATGAGTCAGATCTAACTCGATGGCAGTGAGTGAGAAGGAAAGGTTAATTATTCAGTATCATTATTAATGCTTTTGCTTGGTCCATAAAGAACAATACCCTCTGGAGGAATCAAAAGCACTCTCTCCCTTTGCTGAACATTAAGAAGTAAGATAATTATTTAATGACATTGGGGGTAAACATATTAAGATTTGATCATACATTTTAGTTAGGGGGATTTAAATTATGACGAGGCTTTCCCACCAGCGAAGATTGTTGACTATAGGAAAGAGAGTCTGTGGGAATGTATGGCATCTTCTTTCTTGGCAAGACTCTTGTCTACCTGGGTGCAGTTCAGCCTAAGTGTCACAGGGAAGGATGGAATGGGTCGTGCTGCTTACTTTACTACTTACTGGACCAAACCTGCTTTCTGCTCCAGTAGGCTGGTAACTGTTCATGGAATGATCATCTGGATATTGTCCTTTTGCAGACAGAATGAGGTAATGTTTCTGAAGCAACCCAGATGCTACTATCTGATCTGACTATATTTGGTTTACAGAAGGAGCTGCTGAAATGTAAGCAAGAAGCAAGAAACTTACAGGGGATAAAGGTAAAAAGATATTTTACTCTTTAAATAAAATCTCTATGAGGTAAAGTGAGAGTGGGTACTAGGAAGATAGTTGGGTCCAATAGTCTTCTCTTGTGTAGATGCTGGGTACCTTAAACAGGCTCTGGGCCACTGGGAAAGAATGGGCTTTTGGGTGGAAAGTGAGACATGTTGAGGAATATACGTTTCTTGCTGAGGCTTATTTTTGGCAGTTATGACTCAGTGCTGTCACTTCCCTCTGTGCCACTTTGGTTTTCTCTATATGTAAAATCCTTCCCTTTAGTTCTGGAGCAGAAGGTCCTTTTTTAAAATAGTAGTTTGCTTAGTTTTTGAATAGTTAATATTCAAATGGTTTAGAGGTAAAAAGGTACACAAGGATAAATTATGAAAAGTCTCCTTTACAGCTCTATTCCCCAGTCAGCTAATTCTCTTTCCTAGAGGCAACTTACCCTATCAGCAAATATGTGTGTATATAGTTTCCCCTCACTTTTTTACCCAAATGGTAGCATAGCTATAAATACTATCACCTTGTTTTTTTTACGTAGTGTGTTTTGGAGATCATTCTATTTCCGTAAATAAAGACCTTCATAAGTCTTTTTAGGTCTATATAAAAGCTCTGATCACATTCTTTTGAAAAATGTCAACATATATTTATATTTAATTTGTAATATACTGCATAGTATTTCAATAAATGTACATTTGGTAGTTTATTTAATTAGTCTCCTAGTGATGGTCTTTTAGGTTATTTCCATTCTTTTGCTAATATGTAGTTCTCCAGCTAACAACATTAGATATATGCTATTTATCCCAAGTGGGAATGTATCTGTGGAGTAAATACTTGGAAGTGGAAGAGGATGTTCTTAAACTGTTACTTTTCTCCTCTTCCCGCCACTCCCATTCTTGGGCTAAAACTAGAGTGTAACTAAGCAGCATTTTCCAAAGGGTACTCTAAAGCCTTAGTCCTTTGAGATACTTAAAGGGGAAAAAAAGGGGAGGGGGTTCCATGGTCAAATACTTTTGAGAAATGCCCTAGAGGCTTAAAGATTCATAGTGAATAATAGCATATTCAAAGATCTACGAATTATTGACCATAGAAGTGCTTTTTCCCCCTTACTAACATCCCATGGAGCATACTTTAGGAAATATTCTTCTAAACTACTGATGCCAGAGACATCTTAGACTATCTTTGCCACATACTGTCATGATGGGCAGCATATTTAAGACTGGGCTTCCACATTTCTCAGAGCCTGCAGCAGTCTGTAGAGAGAAAAAGCCAAACCAAACTCACTTCCATCAAGTTGATTCCAACTCATAGCGACCCCCATTGGGGTTTCAAGGCTGTAAATCTTTACAGAAGCATATTGCCTCATCTTCCTTCTGCAGAGGAGCTGGTGGTTTTGAACCACTGATCTTTTGGTTAATAGCCTAATGCCTTAACCCTATACCACCAGAGCTCCTTGTAGAGAAAAAAAGTGAAGGCTAATATACTGGAAACAGGGAGAAGTAGCCCAAGACCATTAGCTCCCTTTGAAGTCACCATGGTTGGAGGAATGTGTAGTAGCTGACTCTTAAAATAAATATTTACCACTCACCTTTTTTTATGTATAGTGGGAACCAAGAGAACCCGCGCTGAGGGGAAAATAACCTATAATTAAGATCCTGGAAAATTGGGAAGAGGAGCCATCAGTCCAAAAACAGTTCTGAGTAGTAGAACTATGTAATCTCAATCCTGGTCCAGACTAAGCAGTGTGGAAGGCAATGGAATTAGGGCAGGAGCAGGGCTCTGAAATGATTCCAGGGATTCTTTGTGAACAGAGTAGGGAGGCAGGGATAGGGCCCAGCCCTCTGAGAAATGGGGACCAGGCAGAGAGGTGGAAAGAAAAAGAGCTAATGTAAATTGAGTATTTAAATGCCCAGGATATAGATGAGAAAACCAAGGTGGAAGGAAGGAGGGGGTATTGTGCAAGATCAAGTTTACCAAGGAGTCAGTGGTACACTTGTAATTTGAATGTAGCCCTATCTGATCCCAAAGGTCACTCATTCTCACTCTAGCATACCATGCTGTTAGGAACAAAACTGAAAAAACCAAACCCCATGCCATTGAATTGGTTCTGACTCGGAATAGACTTGCATCAGAAATGAAGTGGAGGTAAAAATCAGGTTTCAGTCAGTCCAGTCTGCCTTGTCCCCATTTCTCAGAAGAAAATGGGTAGGATTTTCCTTTAGATGCCAGTGTCCGGGAGGGGGACAGAAAAACTCCTGCTTAGCTCTTTAAGGCAATACTCTTATATGCCTTTTGTCTCCCAGTTTGTCAGAAGTAATGATGGATACACAAGTAAAGGTTTAATAGCTTTTAGTAATAAGGTTGGGCAATCTACTTCTGTAGTGATACTGCCTCGGAAATCCAAGGAGGGGTCGCTATGAGTCCAACTTGACAGCAGGGTGTTTTAATAACTGGCTGATTGATTAATTGAGACTGAAATAATTGGTATGCTTTTTCCCCCAGGATGCCTTGCAGCAGAGATTGACTCAGCAGGACACATCTGTGCTTCAGCTCAAGCAAGAACTACTGAGGGCAAATATGGACAAAGATGAGCTGCACAACCAGAATGTGAGTTAAATAAATGAATGGTAATCTCACTGAGCCCCTGTAGCAGAACAGGACACTGTGTAAAGTCCTGTTAGGTCCACCATCCTAGTATCTCTTATTTTACTTCTGGGATGCTTGCTCTCATTAATTTTATTTCCCATTAGACTCATTTCTGTTCTTAGGTGAAAGCCCAAACCACATGAGGTAGGAAGGTCTTTGAGCTCTTCCTTAACTTTGAGGACACTGGGATGTAATTTATAGTTCTACAGTCTGGTTGGTCTTCAGTATGATTATCTCACTAAAGACATGGAGAGATGTTGTGTGTTTTTACCATAACCATGTGGTCTCTGTGCTGTATACAATGACTGCTAACATCAACTCTGGTAACTTAAGTAGCTGGTTTTCTAATGGGGTTGGCAAACATTAGCCCTGTGCCAATGAGTTCTTTCTTACCCTTCTTACAGGTGGATTTGCAGAGGAAGCTGGATGAGAGGAACTGTCTTTTGGGAGAATATAAAGTAAGAATAGACATCAGTTTAGAAATTATTTCTCTCTTTTACAAGCAGCTTGACTGTTGCCCATTGTTGCTGTTGTTCAAAGAGCACTTAAGTTCTCTTCTTTGCTTTCTGCAGGGAAATCTTTTTCTGTGTTCCTTTGGTTCACTAACCCTGAAGAATAGGTAACATGGCTAGAAGCAGCAGCAACAGAGCTCAGAGTCTAGAAAGTTCAGTTTAGCTTTCTCTCTGGCTAGCACAGATGGTGCATAGTGGTCTCCCTATAAATGATAGTTCCCTTCCTCCCTACCCTTCCAAGAATCCTTTGAGCTGTGTAAGACTATTATGGTATACAATGTCTTCCTGTTAGAGCTTGAGGAAAGGACTGTACTCTTGAGATTCTGCTTTACTCAGGTGGGAATTTCATCGCAATGGGTGAACTGTTCAGTGTCCTTGTTCTTGCCATATATCTGAAAGGTCTCTCTCCATTGCAGAAAGAGCTGGGGCAAAAGGATCGCCTCCTTCAGCAGCACCAGGTCAAGTTGGAAGAAGCACTCCGGAAACTCTCTGAGGCCAGTTACCAGCAGGTGTGAACATATTCAGCGACTGACCCCTGGGCTCAAAGAAATCCTTTTCTGATAGTCTTTGTTTTGCAGGTGGATCTAGAGCGGGAGCTGGAACACAAAGATGTCCTTTTGGCTCACTGTATGAAAAGAGAGGCAGATGAGGTAACCTGGAACTCCCTCCCATTTTACAAGGAGATTCTATTTCTGATTCAAGACTGAACCAAGGCCACAGGTCGGTTTGTTAGGTGAGATGGTTAACAGTGGAGGTTCCAGAATAATAAAAAACAAATCTAGATTCAAATCCCAGCTTTATTCACTTGCCCATTGTGTGACCTTGAGTAAGTAATCTTGAGGTTTAACTTTTGATCCTTAGAAATAAGGCATATTTGGAACATGGAAATAATAGTGGTGCTTTGAATTATTCTGAGGAATACATGATACAGTTCATGTAAATAATTAAACACAGTCCTGTTGAGTCTATCTGGCACAGAGCTAGTCTCAAAAAATATTAATTGATGTTGTTATTTTTTTATTATCATTGAAGCAAAGGCAGGTACTTCTGGAGCAGCTTTCTGACTTTTTTTTTTTTACAAGTGTGAGACCTCAGAGTGTGTCCAGGGCAGAGGCTAGGGTGGGGGCCTCCATTTCATTCATTTAGCAGTCAGGGATGACTTATTGAATGCCTACTGCATGTCAGGTATTGGGGACATGTTGTTGTTGTTGTTGTTATGTGCCATCGAGTCAAACCCGACTCATAGCGACCCCTCCTTGGGTTTCCGAGGCAGTATCACTATGGAAGTAGGATTGCCCAACCTTCCTTCCGAGGAGTGGCTGGTGGGTTTGAACCGCCAGCCGTCTGGTTAGCAGACAAGTGTCTTAGCCACTATGCTACCAGAGCAGTGAACAAAAAGGAAAAAAGTTCATACCCTCATGAAACCTTAATAGAGATAGATGTTAAACAATTATATACTATGTCATGTAGTGATAAATGTAAAGAAGAAAAATAAGACAGGATGTCTTGGCTTGGGAATTGTTCCCTATAACAAGCATCATTTCTTCTTTTTTCTTTTTTCAATAATTTACACCTACTCCTCATTATCCAATGTTTTTCACTTATGACAATAGTAAGAAATCTACTATCTGACTATTCTGTGCATTAACACAGATATATGCCTCGCAGTAATGAATGTTGCAGTGTGAGGCAAGAGTTAACACTGGCTGTGTTAGTTAAGGTCATGTATCAGCTTGAGTAGGCCATGATTCTGAGTGGTATAGTTGTAATGTAATGATGTAGTCACCCTCCATTTTGTGATCTGATGTGATCATGCTCCATTTTCACATGTCAGTTTTCATTAGCCTGGTCTTTGGAACCTAAATGTGTCAGTAAGTCAGGAGTGGTATATTTTATTTTTTATTGTTGGTGTTGAGAATCTACACAGCAGACCATACACCAATCCAACCATTTCTACATGTACAGTTCAGTGACACTGATTACACTTTTCAGGTTGTCAACCATTCACACCTTCCTTTGAATCATTTCTTCTTGCTGCTATAGGTGACCAACTACAACAGTCACAACTCTCAAAGCAATGGTTTTCTCCTTCCAATGACAGGAAAAGGAGCTGCTTCAATCGCCCAAAGAGGGGTAGGTTCTTAGGATTTGGGTATAGATTTGCCACTTCTAGCTGAAACCAGAAGAGTATCCCAGTCATCATCCATGGACTAGGCCTTTTATATCCCAGTTCCCCAATTCTTGCATCTAGTGGCTGTGTAAAGATGTGAGACACTTGCTGTTCAAAATTAAGAATTAAGCGAGCAAACAGATGGCCCATTTTTGTGGAGGAAAATTTCCCGCCATTCATACCATGCCCCTTACCCCTGCAAAGATGAAAGATCTTTCCTGGAAACCGCTCTCCTGTATCTTATAAATCCAGTGGCTGGGACCTGGTTAATAATATGGCACAGCACCTTGTTTTTGCCCTCAGACCAGTGACCTGCAACTTGTTCGAGATGCTCTCCGCAGCCTGCGCAACAGCTTCAGTGGCCACGATCCTCAGCACCACACCATCGACAGCCTGGAACAGGGCATCTCCAGCCTCATGGAGCGCCTACACATGATGGAGACCCAAAAGAAACAAGAAAGGAGGGTAATCTTCTTTCTCTGATGTCTCTCTTAGGCAAACTCTTGAGGAAGCTTGCCTTATGAATTTTATTTTGGAGGAAAAAATGTTGCCATTGAGTCAATTCTGACTCACAGTGACCCCATGTGTGTCAGAGTAGAATTGTATGAAAACACAGGGTTTTCATAACTGATTTTTTCTGAAGCAGATTTGTAGGCCTTTGCTCTGAGGTACCTCTGGGGGGGACTCAGACCTTCAAGTCTTCAGTTGGCAGCTGAGCACTTGAAAGTGTGTACCACCCAGGGATTCCAATTTAGATGAAGCTGTGGTTAAAAGATAAAAGATCCTGCTGAAGCTGTCCTTACACATCTCTTTGGTTTTCCTCTCAGTGGAGCTATTCCTTATGGTATGATAATCCAGAGGAGTTGAAGAAAACTCTTACTCCTAGTAACTAGCTATCTAAGGAATTGTGACTCTTGATCCCACAGGGTCTCTACTGCTTACTCCCCTATTTTCCAACCACAGACAGCACTGTATGAGATTTTGTATTAGAAAGTATATTGGAAACTAGAAACCATTTTATAAGCACACATTATTGTTAGGATAATATGTTCAATTTCTATATTGTGGAAGAAGAAGTGGTAGGAAAAGTATATATTTTAGGTAGATTTTAATGATTTAAATTTTTCTTAGGTTCCTCCATTGTTCATAAGTCTTGTGATTTTTGTGTGGTTCTCAGGTGCGGGGCAAGTTACCCAGAACTCAAGCAGGCAGTGAATACCGGGAGTCCTGGCCCCCTAATTCAAGTGAGTATTCACTTTTTGCTTAGCAAAGACTCCTAGCATATTAGACTAGACATTTAGTATTTTTATGCTACTAATATTTTGATGATAGAATTTTCCTTATAATGTTTCACTCAGAATATTTTGTTTCTGTAGAGATACTAGGATTATTTTCAGGACAATGAAGACACACGCTACCTTTATCACCACCGTTGCTCTAAATGCCACTTAGCCACATGTAAGATGCTATAGACTCAGAGGCTAAAGCATCTTTGGAACATGTACAAGCTCAAAATGTTTATTCTGGACAAAGCAAAATATATAACAGACATACACAGACAAAAGCACACAAATGACTCTATTGTCCCAAAAGGTACAGAAAATTTTTAGTCCTTCGAATTAGGAACTTAAGCTTTTTAGGTTTTTCAGTTTAAATCCTGCAAAATATTTGCACCATCTAGTGGCCATGGCTAGGAAGTATGTTTTAATTTGTTCCATGTCCACCTATTTCCCACCCTGTTCATTCCAACATATTGGGAATCTATCCTGCTTGGTAGTATTTTTTTTACTTTATATCTTATCTTTTGGTTTAATACTGGTCAATTTTTTTTTATACAAGCCTAGCCTAAAAATAGGAGCTCTGGTGGCATAGTGCCTAAGGCATTTGACTGCTAACCAGAAGGCTGGTGGTTCAAACCCACCAGCCACTCCTCAGAAGACAGACTGGGCAATCTACTTCCATAGTTATACTGCCTTGGAAACCCAAGGAGGGGTAGCTATGAGTCGGACCCGACTCAACAGCAGTGAGTTTGGTTTTTTTGTTTTAGTCTAAAAATATCTAAATAATAATTTATAAAACTAAATAGTGGTAAAAAGCTGACTAAAACCAGTTTTGCATGTTATGTATTCAAATTTTTAAATCATATTAATAGACAAAGCCTAAAGTAAAACACTTAAAATATGTGCACAAATATGGAATGTAAAACAATGTTTTTGGAGAGTAAATAAAATAGCATTCTCAAATCGGACCAAGTATCTTTTTCTTCTCTGATGAGAGACACTGGGAATGAAAGAAATTATTTTAGTATCAAAATTAGTTTAGTTCTTTTTTCTAGCATTGCTTCAAAATATCCATGTCTATTTTCTTGAGAGGATTTTTATCTTACTGTTACCCTCTTCAGTGCTTTTTCTAAGTGTCTAGGTGAGTGGAAACTGTCAGTGTAGGCAGGATGAACTATTTGGAAATTATTTTTTAAAAATCTAATAAATTCCTTCTTCCCCCAAATATTCCTTCCCTTTCTCAAACTACTACAGATTAATTCACAGCTGCTTGTAACTAAGGTTTTAATCTAAATCTTGCAAAATTATATCATAAACAAGATAAAATTTATGAACAAGATGAAATGTTTCTCATCTGAAAATATAAAAGCTTCAATTCTACTAGTCCTCTAGCTACTAATGTATTTCTCTTAATACTCTACATCAAACTACTTTTTTGTTTTTGTTAATTTTTATTGTGATTTGGGTGAAAGAGCGAATTAATTTTGCATACAGCAGTTCATACACATTTTGTCTCATGACATTGACAGCAATTCCCCACAGTGTAACAGCTCTCTTCCCACTTCCACCCTCTAGTTACCTCTTCCCTGTGTCCTTCCTTCCCATGCACTTTCACCCCCTGAGCTGGCTCCTTGTGCAAACACTGCCCTTCTATTCTTCCATGAGTGATAGCTCCAAGTAGTGTATCTACGTGATGTAAATGTTCATGCCATATGCCTGTCTATTGTTTGGCTGGAAGCCACAGAAGTGAGTTCAGTTCCAGACTTGAAGGGTGCCTAGAGGCCATAGTGTCAGAGGTCTCACCAGGCTCTGTCATCTACATCAGACTTCTTGAAAGAATAGTCTATACTTGCTCCCTTTTCTTCCTCACTTCCCATTCCCTACTGAACCCAAAACAGTCTTTTACCCATACTCCACTTGATGTTCTTTGTGTAGGCTCACTGTTGACTGTCTCATTGCCAAATCAAATATTTACTTGTCAAATGTTATCTTCATTAACTTTTCAAAGCATTTACTATTCTTGACTAGTCTCTCCTTGTGAACACATTCTTCTCCTTTACTTCAATACCAATCAATTCATTCAACAAATATTTATTGAGCATCTATTATGTATCACCTATGTTAGACTCTGAAGATACAGAGATGAACAGGATAGACTTGGTACATGCTCACCTTGGACTTGCATTCTAGTGAACTAATGTATTTTCACACAATAATGTGTGCCTGCTACTTTTGTTTGCCAGCTGAGCAACCCCCACCCCCCAGGTATTTTTGTAATGCCATTATTTTTTTTATGGGTCACTGTAAAAAAAAACAAAACTGCATAGTGGCTCTTATGAAAATATCTGGTGGGGAGGGGAAGGCTTGGCTAGCCAACAAATTTAGAAGTTAAGTGTTATTTGGGTAAAAAAATACAGTAGATACGCTAGTTTTCTTCTATTTTTCTGACTCCTAACTTTTCCTGATCTCCTTTTCTTCTCCTCATCTAATCCTTAAATGTTGGTGTGCCCTGGGATTCCATTTGAAGACCAGAACTTTTCATATTCTTTCTCGGTGATCCCTTCCACTCCATGGCTTCAAATACTCTTCAGTGCTAATTATTTTTAAATCTTTATCTCTAACCCCACCTCTTTTCTAAGCTTCATGGCTATATTTGTTAATGTCAACAAGATCTCTCTATAGGTCCAAAAGCACTTCAAATACTTGTTTAAAGCTAGACTGTGGAATCAAGCATTTCTGGAGCACAAATTTGGCTTTTTCATTCAGGTATGTAAACATGGGTAATTAATGTCACAATTAAAAAAAAAAAAAGACCAGGCTTACTCATCTGATAGACTGGTGGGACCCCTGAGACTATGGCCCTTAGACACCCTTTAAGCCTGGAACTGGACTCAGCCCTGTGGTTCAACTGTCAGCCAAATAATAGACAGGCCTAAAATAAATAAATAAAAGTGATGAGACAGCTTACAGACTGGGAAAAAACTTTTAGGAACCATGTATCTGATAAGGGTTTAACAGCCCAATTATGTATTTAAAGTTCTTTTTTAAATTGTGATTTAGGTGAAAGTTTACAGAGCAAATTTGTTTTCCACTTAGCAGTTCATACACATTTTATTTCATGACATTGTAATCCCCACAGTGTAACAGCTTTCTTCCCACTTCTTCCCTGTGAGTACCTTTTCCCTGTGTTGTTCTTTCCTATGCATCCCTGCCCTCTGAACTATTTCCCTGTCCAAAAGCTGCCTTTCTGACCTCCCATGGTTGATTGTTCTAAAGAGTGTACCTACCTGGTGTAATTGTTTACCTTGTAGGCTTATTGTAAGCCATAGGAATAAGTTCAATTCCAAACTGTAGGGTGACTTGGGGCTATAGTCTCAAGGGTTTCACCAGTCTCTATCAGACCAGTAAGCCTGGTCTTTTTTTATGATTTTGAGTTTTGTTTCACATTTGTCTCCAACCTTATCCAGGATCTCCTATTTTGATCCCTTTCTGAGAGGTTGATAGTGTAGCCAGGCAACATCTAGTTCTTCTGGGCTCAAGGTCATGTAATTTGAGGTTCACATGTTCTACCAGTCCCTTGAACTAATTGTTTCCATGAGTCTTTGATTTTCCTTATTCATTTTTGCTCTGGACAAGAAGAGATCAATTGTTGCATATTAGATCATCACTTGCAAGCTTTTAAGACTCCAGATGCTACTCACCAAAGTAGGATGTAGAACAGTGTTTTTGTGTAGTATGTTATGCCATTTAAGCTTGATGTCCCTCACGACCATGGTCCTAGCCACAAGACCAGTGACTCACTCCCTCAAGGTGTTTAATAGCCAGCATATTTGAAGAACTCCTACAACTTCGCAACAAAAAGACAAACCTCTGATTAAAAAAAAAATAGGCAAAGGACTTGAATAATCATTTCACCAAACAAGATACGTAAATGATCAACAAGCATATGAAAAGCTACTCAACATCATGATTCCAACTCAAAGCAACCCTATAGGAGAGAGCAGAATTGCCCCACAGGGTTCCCAAGGATGTAAATCATTAGTCATTAGGGAAATGCAAATCAAAACCACAATAGGACTACTCCATCCTCCCAGGCTAGCTATAAAAAAACAACAACAAAAAATAAATGTTGATAAGGAGGTGGAGAAATAACAACTGTTGTACATTGCTGGTGGGAATGTGAAGTGATTCAGCAGCTGTGGAAGTAGTTTGTCAGTTCCTCCAAAAGTTAAACATGTAGTTACCGTATGACTCATCAGTCTAGGTATATATACAAGAGAAAGGGAAACATGTGTCCACAGAAACTTGTACATGATGTTGATAGCTACATTATTCATAATAGCCAAAAGGTAGAACAATCCAAATGTCCATCAACAAATGAATGGATAAATAAACTGGTATATGCATCCAATGAATAGTATTCAGTCATAAAAAGGAATAATGTATCGATACATGCATTAATTTGGATGAACCTTGAAAGCATTAAACTAAGTAAAAGAAGCCAGATGCAAAAGGTCACATATTATTTAATTTCTTTTACACAAAATATCCAGAACAGGCAATTCCATACAGACAGAAATCATATTATTGGTTGCAGGGGATAAAAGGGGGAATGACCTCCCTGTAGTTATCCCTTCCCTGTGTCCTTCTTTCCTATGCGTTCCTGCCCCTGAGCTATCTCCCTGTGCAAACACTGCCCTCTGTTTTCGCACAATTCATCGCTCAAGGAGTGTATCAGTCTGATGTAAATATTTACCTTATGTGCTTGTCTGTTGTTTGGCTGGAAGCCACAGGAGTGAGTTCAATTCCAGACCTGAAGGGGAATTAGGGGCCACAGTCTCAGGGGTCTCACAAGGTCTCACCAGGCTCTATTAGACCATTAACCTGGTCTTTTTTTTTGGTAAGATTTTGAGTTTTGTTCCACATTGTTCTCTCACTCTCCACATACACATAAGATTAATTTT